GTGGGATCGCATGGTTCGTGCCAGGCACCCCGCACCCCCGCCCCCGCGGTCAGCGGCCCCCACCCCCGCCCTGGAGCATGTGATACCTCGTTGAAAAGGTATTTATGTGTAGAATACAGAAAAGTGGAATTCTCAAATTTATTTTATTTCTACAGCACATTTTTATAATAAAATATAATTTTTAATTAAACACAGATATAATTTTAGATAACAGAGTTTTTAATTGTTGCAAAATATTTTCGTTTGGACAAGGTACTCCAAATAAATTCCAATGAAATGCTCCTGCCGCCACAACTCTTCTTGTAAACTCACTAAATTTGTAGTAACTGCTCTGCCGGAAAAAGTAAATATGCCCATCGATCCATCGAAATGCGGAAGAAATATTTTGAGGTATTCCAGGAAATACGTCTCTTATTCGTCCTCTGTTTAATATGATAGTAAAATCATTAGAAAACTCTATATACGACATATTATTGTACAAGACATAGGAACGACCTGAATTTGATTGAAAAATAGCATTTATATGAGTGTTGTTGGGCATATTAATTGAAAAATCATCTAATACTTGAACAGCAGGAAATGATACTGAGAAATATTTATTTGGGGGCACAATAGTAACCAAGTCGCCGATTGTAGTTTGACAAATGTGATGTACGGTATATTGACGTAGATCTTTGGGAATATAATCAACAAGAAGTTCCGGCTGAGATGGGATAATCATTTCGTTCAAATCGAGTTTCCATATAAATGAATCATAGGCAATGTATAAGCGGTAATTAGAAAAGTCTGATGCAATTGCTAAAAACATAAAATCTGGGACAATATCACACACATTTTTCATTGTTATTGAATGCTTAGTCGAAAATGGTTTTGTTGTAGTTTGAATTTTCCTTGTAAACGGTGCTGTAGTAGAGTTCTTAGAAGTTATCGGATAAATCGTCGTAACCGGTGCTTTAGTAGAGTTCCTAGAAGTTATCGGACGAATCGAGGTAGACGTCGATATTGGAACATACTTTTTCTTAAGTCCATAGATATATTGAATTGCCATTATATCATCAGTATGCAGACTGTGGATCACATCTTGATATGCCCCATACATAATAGCGTTTTGATTATCACTATGTCCAATTCCTAGAGCATGTCCAATTTCATGAACTAATACCATAAGAAAACTGATGGAGCCGTCAGGAATATTATTTCTCTCTCCAAAATACCAATGTTCCTCTATATCTAAATGGATTTCTCTACAAATACCCCTTTGCGGGAAAAATGAATGTCCTAAGACGCCATGAGGTCCGTCAAGGGGCAACGTGCATACATCATTACCCATACAATTTGTTATAATGAGTTTTGCGAACCATAGTTATAGTAATATCAGGAGGTGTTATACTAGGGATAGTAACCATTTCAAACGTTAATGTTGAAGTATTTTGCCACATTTGGAAAGCCGTTTGTGCATCGGTCCGAGCTGCAGGTGTTGCTTGAGGAAAATACCATCGTAGATGGTGTTTTTACCATGGAGAACCCACCGTAAATTCTGTATCGCCATGCTGACAACGTGGCCGGCGCATAAATTTGATTGTTGAATTATTTAAAAGTCCATCTACAGGTAAATTATATTTTTCTTGAAAATTAATCAGGAAGGTGAAGATATCACTAGTATTAACAACAACATTTTCATATTGATTTAGGTATGCAACAGCATCTTTTTCGGAGAAATCTGTACACTGTACATACGTAAAAGTGAACACTACAATAACTAATACGTCTACCTTGATCGACATTTTGACAGAGAATAAAGTTGATATAGTAAATAACGAATACATAAACCTCGAAATTTAGCCCTATTCAGTTTTAGCAAAAAATACATAAGCCTCGAAATTTACTCCTATTCAGTTTTAGGAAAAAAAAAATCGCATAAACGTTCCTAATTTTTCATACACGTTGTATGTATAGAAAATATTATTTTGCATGTAATTGGAATTTCCGGAAAGAAATGTTCACACAACTAATTTTAAACACTTCGTTGCAATTGAAATTTCTAGAACAGATACATATGTTAGATTACTAATCACATACAAAAATACCAGGAATTCTGAATAAAGATTAAGTTAACTGCAGCAGTGGTATTTCCGGAGGGGAGTCCCTATTCCAAATGGTGTATATCAATTATAAAAATACTACGAATTGTGAATAACGAAGAATTTAACTGCAATTGCAATGGTATTTCCGGAGAGTCCCCAACCGAGAAACGCGCTGCATTGACGTAATATCGGTAGCTTATAAGCGAACATACATGGAAGGCATTTCACATTCGACACTCAGGTTCATAACGCGACGCCAGACAGTGCTGTTAATTGTGTTTCTCCTATAAAAATAAATGTAAGTAATTTTTTATTTTTAAGAGCACTCTGTACTGGACCGCGTTAGACATGGGTAACGCAGCGCTGCGTTGCGTTATTGCGTTAACGCAGTTGTATGCGTTACGAGCGTTGATACACCAGTTGTTACTGTATCAGCGCAACGCAATTTTCGATACTGAGTCGAAAGGATCGCGAGTTGTTGGTGCGCCATGCGCCAGGCACTGATTCCGTTTTCCGTGACGAGTTGAGAATTTTAATTTACGTAATTGATGCAACTCGTAATGCAGATTACCCAAAATCTTTCAAGTAATTATGTTCTTTGCAACATGTCACATCATTTGTAGGATTGTAGGTCGAATTTTATGAATTTTAATCTTGTACACTGTCAATTTTTAGTTATTTTCAATTTGATTGGCTACTAGTATACAAAATTTATATCCTTTTTATATAAATTGGAATTTTTGTATTTTTTGTAAAATCCGAACACAATGAAATAAAAAAATGAGTGCATTACACTGTTATATTTTCGTTTATTTTTAAACATATAATAAAAAAAATTTAGTTAAATTCCCAATTGCGTTATTGCCTTGAACAAAAGACAGCCCGCGCTGTATAACACCGGTATCATGCGATACACAGAGGTGCATCGACTTCATTCGGCGCAGGCAGTGGTGTGACGCAATAAAGCAGTTTTCAGACTTACGAGTGTTGAAGCCTGCAACTGGTTGCTTGCAGTTTTTCCATTTCATGCCTTTTAGAAATGTCCGTGGGTGAAAAGCTCGATTTGTTCATATACATGCATTATTTTTCGAGATGCATACGTTTTCATACAACATAGTAATTTTTCAATCCAAATATTGTCAATTGTCAGCACTGGAGCACTTTATTTTGACTGATATATCGTTTTCACCGTTTTCCATTTTGTCAAATTTTCAAATCTCGATTTTCGATAAACATTTTAATGGATGATGAGAGCATATTGGTTTTATCAGTGGCGGTGGCAGCCAGTGCTTTTTACTTCCAACAAGAAAGTGGTGGGTTAGACCATGGATGCAAACAAGAAATAAAGGTAATTTACACCTAGTAAATAATGAGCTAGACGACGACCCTTACAGTTTTAGAAATTTCATAAGAATGGATAGATCCGCTTTTGAAAGGCTATTAGATTTGATTAAACATGACATAGAAAAAAAAGATACAAGATTTAGACAAGCAATAAGTGCTAGAGACCGTTTAATCATAACATTAAGGTACTTGGCTACAGGAGAATCCATGACAAGTTTACACTATTCATTTCGAATTGGAATTTCAACCATATCTACCATTGTTTTTGAAGTATGCTCAGTGATTAACAAACATTTGCAACATGATTATTTAAAGGTTTTTACCTACATTATTATATTTTTCACATTACAAAAAAATATTAAAGATTAAACGTATGTCATTGGTCTAGTGAGCAAAAGCGTAACTCAACTTTTTCGTTTATTTTGTGTTGATATGAACTTTATGATTTATTTTAGAAATAGTTGTAATTTCTACTATAAAAGATCTGCATATTTACTATGATCAAAAAAAGTATAAAGAATATAAAAGCACGCTAGTTGTAAAGAAATTGTTTTTGCTAATTAGACCGACTATGTATACCTATAGTTAGATAAATGCCATTTGTGTTGTAGATTCCGTGTGAAACTGAACAGTGGTTACATATTGCAAAAGGTTTTGAAGACAAATGGAACTTCCCTAATGTTTTGGGGGCTTTAGACGGAAAACATATTGTCTTTCGAGCACCTCGTAAAGAGGGTTCAAAATATTTTAACTACAAAGGAACTCATAGCGTTGTTTTAATGGCCTTAGTCGACTATGACTGTAAATTTTTGTATGTGGATATTGGGAAGAATGGTCGAAATTCAGATGGAGGAATTTTCAATAATTGTTCATTATACAAAGCCATGCTTGATAATAAACTTAACTTTCCACAAGATAAACCATTGCCAGGTAGGAATAAACCATGCCCATTTGTAATTGTGGCCGATGCAGCATTTCCTTTAATGAGAAATATCTTGAAACCATTTCCATTTAGGAACATGACTTGGTTCCAAAGAATTTTCAACTATCGCTTAAGTAGAGCAAGGAGAGTCGTTGAAAATGCTTTTGGAATTTTAACTAATCGGTTTAGGATTTTATTAAATCCCATAGATTTAGCGCCTGAAAAAGTTATATTAATAACCCTAACATGTGTTGTATTACATAATTTTTTAAGAACAAACTGTCCAAAGACTTACTCTGTAAATGAAGATAACATTGACAGAAGGTTTACAATAAGGCAAAATGTATCTCGACAGCAAGGCAATAGAGCTGGTGTAGCAGCCTTAAGAAACAGAATGGAATTCATGGATTATGTGAATACAAATGGAGCTGTACAATGGCAAAATGATTTAGCTTAGCATATTATAAATTGTTGTTCCAACTTTGCAAGATACTTATGTTGTGAAACTAATTTTAATCTTAATTAAAATTGAAAATTATTTTTATATTTTTTTTTTATTTATTTTCCCCTTATTCAAGGTACCTACCTGTTGAAAAAAAAAATACAAATATTCATTTATAAAATTATATTGATTAAACAATTTACATTTGCCTTAATTCACCTTCAAATTCCCTTAATTGTCTGCATCCTGTGCATCCATAATATCTGAAAATATTTTTCTTTTAATTCCCCTTAGGATCTCAGTTTTTTTAATTTTTCTTAGCTCATGTGCAATGGTCCTAAAAACATTTTAAAGAAATTTAATGAAATCTAAATAGTCATCATACCTGCTAAAAGCTTCAATATCATCTGATGGAGCTACATTTTCTTTTTTCTCTGACAGCATAGTTGTAGCTTTACTAATAAACCTGGCAACTTCTTTATGAATAGAAGTTTTTTCATGTTTTGGGGTTTCTTCCGTCGGCCCAGGTCCATTAATTATTTTAATTGTTTCAGACACTTCAGATTTATTTGTTTCACCAGTTACATTCTGAGATAAATCTTCAATACCTCCTTCGTATACTGTCCCATCTTCATACTCAATCTCTATTTGGCTTTGGGTACTTTGCTCGAACTGAGATTCCTAAAAACAAGATTGTATATTTGCCAGATACCTATCACAGAAAAGACAAATAAAAAATGTGTTAATTACTTCTAAATTAGACACACTTTGTGTCAATGTCTCGCTTTCCACCAGAAACTTTAATAAGTCAAAACACCACAGCTTTGGTTTTATTACTTCACTAGTCCCTGCTCCACTTGATGTGTTCTTTGATTTATTATATTCTTTAAAGAACTGGGTTCTGAGAGTATGTATTTTAACTTTAATGTCATTTATTTCAAGACACTGCCTGGATATAAACTCACTCAATTCATTTAATTCCATTCGGATTGACTCCAAAGATTCTTGCCTTTTAGTTTTGTTATGGTACTGAGGATCGTTAGTCTTATAAAGCACAGAATGTGTTCGATATAGCTCTATTAAAGCAATAATACTCTCTCGGTTCCACACAAATTTAAATCTTTTTTCATTATCCATGTTTATATATAATATATAAACAAATAAAAATTTTTCTCATTACCTTTTATTTCTTTGCTCTAACCCTAATGTTCTTAACATTAAAAACAAAAATAATGAAAGACAGAAGACAGGAAATAAACATTTTCTATTGTTGGTAGGAATGAAAATTGCACGCATGTCAAGAAAAAAAAGAACAATTTCTAATTTTGTGCTTGAAAACTCATGCAATTAATGCGCGCTAAAAAACCTCATAATGGGTTCTATGATTGAACGTTTACGTTATCCGTAACGTACATGTTAGGCCGAGTTTTAACAGTAACGAGGCAAGTTCGTGTGATGGAAAACTTTTTCCAACACATTACTGTTATTTTCCGCCTGTTATGTTCTAATTTAACAGGTTTCCATCATACGAACTTGCCTCGTTACTGTTAAAATTCGGCCTAACATGTACGTTATGGATAACGTAAACGTTCAATCATAGGACCCAATGTGAACATAAGTTTTGTGCATCATAACGCTGCACGTCGGGTTGCACGTTTAAGCACCCGTAAGTCTGAAAACGGCTTAACGCAATTGCGTTAACGCAATGAGTTGGCGCAATAGAGTGCGCCGGAGTTAGTGTATCAACGCAAAGAATTTTAGTGCGTTACCCATGTCTAGACCGCGTGGTCGAATTTGGGATTTGTGCCTAGCAATCGCAGAGAGACGCGATTTGTGGAGTACGGCAACAGTGTCGTCGGTCGAGCGCATTTGACCTTCGCAAAATATGGTTTTCGCACATAGGTATATTACTTGTTTGGCACTATTACAGAATTTGGAAAAGCGACAAAGGAACAAAGTATGAAATATATAATTATGAATCAGAATGGTAACAGGACCGGGTTTATTATTTTTTCTCGTGGGATAACGGATTGTTTGTTTGTAATCAATAAAGCGTAAACGTTTTTAAGGCGTTTTTATTGGTGTGACGGGAAATTAGAGTAGTATTAACCAAATGAATATGTGGTAAAGTGGCGAAAATATTAATACAAATAAATTTTAAATTAGATAGGTATTTTTCTCGGTACCTACTTAGTTAATACCATTTTCTTGGGGATCTCTAGTTTTAATCAGTTAATTTCACGTTTTACTTTCTATGTTACAGAATTGTAAAATTTTAACAGAAAAATGTATATCTGTGTTGTACTAAGTACTAATTAGTTAAAAATATAATTTTTTTATTATTCAAATGAAATATGGTATTTAAAATAACATGTCTTTTTATGTAAAATATTATAATTCTATTTTAAAAATTAAAACATAATTTAATCTAAATAAATAAAGGTGTTTCGACCTTATTCCGAATAGGTAGCCCCTTCGGTTGTAGCGGATCTACTATTTCAGGCAATAAATAATTACCTATTATAAAATAGTATTAACCTCTGGAAGCATTTTTTCCTTCCAAAATACGTCATCCCGTGTGATCTACAAGAAAAAGGAAATTAAATTATGATTAGGACAAGATAAAATTTGTTTAATGACCATTATAGTTTATTTTTTTTAGTGATTGGGAATCGCTCAGAATAATAAAAACAATTTTTAGTCATTATTTCAGATTTAAACAATTTTCAATAGTTTTTTTTTTTAAACCTAATGGAAGTTAGTCTGCAATTTTCAATGACTGGCATAAAACTGGTTAGTTCATGATTTAGGTGTTGATTTCTATTATTTTTATCATTATAACGGATTGACATTTACTGAATATAAGTGTTTTGTTATTACTAAATATCAAAAATACAGTTCGGTAATAATAATATTAATAACAATAACATAAAAAATATTATTAAAAACTTTACCTCCTCTACAAGAATACCATGAGGACTCCAGATTAAAAATATCCATTTTGCCGGTCTGTAATTGCCAATTGTCCCTGAATTTGGAAATAATAATTGTGGTTCCGTTTTAAATGAAGTTTGCCATTAATTAGTTCGGCAAAATATATTTTTTTTTGAGGTAATTTCATTAGCTGGTGTTTGCTCCTTATTAGTTAAAGGGCATTTAATTTCAATTAGAGCATGATCCCCTATAAGACCACCCGGACTTGCACCCACAAATTGATATGTCTGATCAATATAAAAACCGGTCTGATTTACCTTTAAATTATAAATTTTTTCAAATTCTGATAAAGCCCTTATTTCATTTTCATTACCATACCGAGTAGCCTTGTTGCCAAAAAAGTTTCCATACAGCAATGTTTTAATTGTATTTACAGGCGAGGTAGTGGATTTCATTTTGCAAATTTTCCCAAAACTCGAAGCGGTAAGCTTTACCAGCCTTTCTTGAATCCACTGCGGATTTGACTATTGTCCCAACGTATTTCTCTTTTGATTTCATCAGGTGTCTTCTCAAGAGATTTTATGAAATTCAGCACCTTCTGTTTATATTCGTCACTATTAGGATCCAACGGTAGATAGTTGGCATTGGGGCCGTAATCCTGATCAGGCAGGAGTTCTTTTTCTTGCCGACGTTAAACATACTCCTTAATCTCTTTATTTCTCTCGTCTACTCTTACTCGGCCCATGGTTTTCGTTTGTAAAGCAACCTATAATTTTAAGATACTTTTAGAATTTGCAATTTCCTTTAAGGAAAGGAAATATTTCACATAAATTCTATGTTAATAACGAGTTTTTATAAGATCTCTGTTTTGCCAATTTAAAGAAATATTTATTTTGTTTCTCACAATTTCGGAAACACTGTATGGATAAAAATGGGTTGTGTATCTATGTCGACTAAGTGATAATTGCATGTTCTATTTTGTCCCATATAACGACGAACTGGTGAAACCAAAAATTACCATCCAATTACATTAATTAGATAGAAGAGCAGTGTTTATCAAGAAATAATACAGAAATCTAAATAAATATAAACAAAAAACAGTTGAATACATTTCTTATTTTAGGTACATACCTTTTTAAAAGTTACAGAAATATTAGGTACTTAAACTCACTATAAGTATAAAATATGTTCATATAGTTTTTACACCAGTTTTCTTACTTAAACTCACAATTAAGTACCTAACAACAAAAATTCACAAAATAGTTTATAAAAAACAAAATACAATAATCTTAAAAATTCCGACCGCCAACTCTGTATAACAATAATGTTGCACAGCTCAGATGATAATGTAACTCGTTGAACATTGCAGACGACGACACCGGCACCGATGTTGTCAGATCGGTCGGAAATTGCGAGCATCTCCTGATTTTGTCATTAATTTTTTGAAAATCACGGGGCATAAAATATTAGACTTATAGTAACTTATATTAAAAATCTAATGAGTGTATGTGTCAAGAAAAACCGTATAAAACGTCGCTATGTTGCATTTTTTTGAAATAAATGTGCCATGTTTAAAATAAAAAAAAAAAAAAATTGGTTTTTAAAAAAAATAAAATCATAGCGATAAAAAGCCATTTATCTGAAAGCCATACCCAAAATTATATTTAATTCGGTTAAGCCGTTGTCCTTAAATTCTGTGCCCAGTTTTCTCATTTTTATCGCTGGTACACAGGCCTCTTAAAAATCATTTTCTATCCAATTTAGTTTAGTTTTTTCATGACCATAGTTTAATATTCGTTTTGAAATTTTAAATGTATACTATTTTGATGAGTTGATAAATGGTTTTGTTTTTCATGGTCACAATTTTTATTCGTTTTTCTAGTGAGAATAAATTGAAACAATTTTTATGAGTAGTTGCAAGTAGATATTTAGAATATTTTTTTTTCTTTATAGATGAATCTAATCGAATTAAACAACGTATCTCTTGTAGAAAGGAAAGAGACGATAAAAATTTCAGAGTTGCCCCTAAATAAGCCGGTCAAAATCAGCAAAGCCAAAATCGTAAATACCAAGTACGGAGACGCCGTTCTGTTGGAGTTGGTGGATAAAGCAGTATTTCTACCCCAAAGAGTTACAGAAACGTATAGACCATACTTGGACGAATTCGCTAGTCAACACTACAGCATTATTTACAGAGGAGAAATCGCCGTAGGAAAACCGAGTCCACTTGCTTCCTTTGAAATTATCGAGCATTAGGTGTAAATAAGAAAACAGAGAATAAGTTGTTGCTTGCTGCAGACTATATTTATGTTCGAGGAGAACAGAAAGCAGAATTTTTACTTAAGAAATGCAACATTTTAGGCGTTTTTTCCCAACATTATTGACGTTTGCAAGTATGATAGTACGCCCTGTGCAACTGGAAACTTTGCAGCTGATATCAACCCATGTCATGCCACTGGACAATTTTCTTGCACCCAACGAAATGTGGAACGTCTACGCCAATGGCTTATAAATGTAATATTACCTATGTAATGGGTAGTTTTTTTAAATAAATTTTAATTATTAAACGTATGATTTGGGTTTTATTGAAAAGCCTTTCCTTTTTAAATATTAATTTTAATGCAAGATGATTCGCATTTGCGATTTACAATTTTTACAACAATATTTAACAATATTATTATTATTCCAAGAAGTATAATACATAAAAGTATAACTGATGTATCATATTGGGTGATTTCATCGTACCATCTTGAATCGCTCTCCGTGTTATCAGGAAATATAAGCTTTATCTTGTAGAATTGTCTTGGCTGTATTTCTTTGAAGAATACTGGAAGTTGTCCATTATTTACTACTTTATGATCCATCAAAGTCCATTCAGTTCGATTACAATCACTTTTTACATCATTAATACAAATTGCCAAATTCTTGACGTTATTGGTGACATTTGTATATAAGACATTATTAAAAATAGCCGTTAGGATGATGAATGATTCTGCTACTTGTAACATCTTGTAGGTCGAATCCTTCTTAGTGGATATTGAGCTGCTGGCGTCTTGTAATTCAGAAATACTTTATCCCACACACTTAGATTTGCTAGTTGTGCTACGATTATTTTCTTATCTTCATACAAAGCTATTTCTTCATTTAATTTACGAATATTTTCACAAAATTCTTCAAGTTTGCGTCCTTGTTCGTCGGATGGT